GATCACATTAGTCTGTTTAGAGAAATGATGCTCAAATGTAGTGAAACAGCTTTTCGCCAAACGGTGTGGTAAGGGCATTAGCCTCCTGTGAAGACTTTTATCGCCAATATCGGTGTTTGTTTCTTCAAGTGCGGCTAGAGAGCGGCAGTTTCTTATTGGGGGGAAAGTTGTATATTATAGGGCGGAAGGCTGTTAGCGTATATTGGGGGGGGCAGGGGGATAGAGAAACTGTCACACTCATACAGTTCTCCCCCAAAGCCCTCCGCTGGGAAACCGCCACGCTCTAGCGGCGCATGTAGAAACAAATGCTGGTAGCTAAACATCTGCACTAGAGACTTAGGGCATTGCCTGTTGATAATAAAGATATCTGTCCTTCCTGAAAAAAAATTTCATCTCTGCTCTGCTGTATTAGAGAAATCGTCAGTTTGTACAATTTTACATTGAGACAACCCATATACATGTAGTTGCATTTTCGACTTCTACCATGTAGCGCGGATCAACATCTACCCTGTAGCGGTCCGCTGTAAAGAACGTCTACCATGTAGCGAATCGACTGTGGCGAAACAAGCTGTTTCTATACTCTAACTTAAGTCGTTATCTAAGTAGTTAAGCACACCCGAACGTCTCCGGAAGCCGAGTAAGCGTTGAACGGTGGTTCGGCCTCTGGGTCGCTGATCCCCGCCTCCTGTTGTTGAGATTCCACCACTACTGTACCGTCAGCCTCCAACAGCGACACGCGGCTTAACTACGGTTTGTATTGGAAAAAAAACAATAGATATTAAAAACTAGAACGGTAACACTTGCAAAGCAAATGAATGTTAACCTTCACATTGTCTAGCCTGACAAACTACTACTCTGTTTATACTTACTCGAATATATTCAATATAAATGGTAACTAGCCCCTCCAACTGTGTCCTGCCACTTGCTACATAATGCACATGTAACCCAACACCACCGAGTGTCTGCTACAACCCCAGTTACCAGAGGTAATCGGTAGTTCTTATTAACTTGCATATACTGTAAATTTTCCACGATTATCATATTAACCCCATTAACCACGATTATGTTAACCTCAGCGACCTACTACTAGTAGTTAGTGTTCTGCATTTACATACAGGATTGTCCGAACACTTACGGACAGTTAGTTGTGCTAAATATGGGATATAGATATGTTTATAATCTGCAGATATGTCTGTGTAATACGTGTATATTTCCCCCTACCCTGTTTGGATCCGCCAGGAGCACGTCGTAGGGAAGATTATGTTTATGATGGTCAGAAATACTGTCTTCTGTATTAAGATTGTCTTAACAATCCTCACTCCACCCAGGTGTAAAATGGGTATCTGACTTCGGTGGAGGTAAAAGGCGATGGAAGAAGAGGGATGGGCTCTGCCTTCCAACACCATACCCACATTGGATCAACAACTTAGGGCCTCAAAAAGGCTATATGGTACTATCTTTACATGTTTACCCGTGCAATACGTGTATATATTTGTCCCACCCTGTTGGGATCCCTGCTGGGGTACGCCAGGAGCACGTCGTAGGGCACCAGCCGGGCGGAGTCGAACCCGTACTCCCGCCACCTGTCCCGGATCAGCCGGGCCACCCCCAGGTCCATCTCCTTCCCGGCTATGTGCGGCCGGGCCGTCAGCGTCCTGAGAGTCAGCAAGGTGCTTTATATCAGTTACAGGCAACACATACCCCATACATGCACCCCCGTATAGCTCTGGGCCGCACGGTCCCAGCTCCGGGCCGTCAGCGTCCTGGGAGTCAGGAGTATCAACGTGCTTCACATTAGTTAAAGTTGCAAAAAATTGATACCACTGTTGTAGAATGCCAAAATGAAACAAAAAAAGACGAAAATGTAAGACAACGAATTTGAAGAGTAGATTATTCGCCAAACCACATTCTATGTCATTTGTTCAACCTTCATGACCACGTAGATTTCATAAGGAAACTTTTTTTTGCCAAACTTTTTTTTATTCGCACGCGCGCATCAGTTTTGGGGTTCCCAGTGGATGTCATCCATATAAACAAATCAACATGGCCTTATGTGCACCTCCGTACAACTCTGAGCCGCACGGTCCCAGCTTTTGGGCCGTCAGAGTCCTGGGAGTCAAGATTAGCAACGTGCATCACATCAGTTACATGAACCCTCGTATAAATGTATATTCATTTACATAATTTACATCTGACACCGGAGGGGTTTTCATGACTGTATTCTGTGGTTCTACTCTATACAGTGACAGGCTTGTAGGAGGGCTAACTCTGACATCTGACTTCTATTACTGATGCGTGGCCTTGGCGTGCATGGCCTTGGTGGAGCAGCCCCATAACATTTACTTGGTTCGCATCACTACAGCAAGTGAAAAGGAGGGTGAAAGTCCAAATACGTCCGTGACTACTTCTTTTCAGATCATTGACCTAGGTAAAGTTGACATTGCCAGATACAATCTGGAAAGCGTCCAACTGGTTAAATTTTAACCGTCGGTGAAACTTAGAGCCAGTTATATAACGGACTCAGAGAGTTCAAATTATTGTGACGTGGGCTTGGCACAAAGAATTGCATGGTAATCTTGACCCAGGACCTTGGAAAATTCGCAACGTTGGCAGAAAAAGCCTTTACGTACATACATGGGAAGTTGGAACACTATAAAAAATATTGGATACTAGGTGCTTACATTATGGCTAGGCCGCTCAGTGCCACTAGCAAGTGTGGTGGCGAAATACGAGCGATGGGCGTTGTGCGCGTACCGAGGACAACTGGTGTTGTAACAGGCGGTGTGCCTGCGCTACCCCATAGTAGCTTTCCATAGAACAGACCATTCCTGGTCGAACATGTCGAACCACCTGTTCTATTTCGAACACGTCGAACCCCCTGTTCTATTTCGAACACGTCGAACCCCCTGTTGTATTTCGAACACGTACGTTCGATTTTGACCGAGGTGTTCTAAATAGAACAGGGGGTGTTCGACTGGAAAGGTCCATCATCAATCGTCAAACACGAAGACAAGAACAGCATACACAGACCTGAGGTTTTCCCTGATGTTGTCGGGCTTGAGCTCGCGCTGTAGCCGCGCGGGGACGCTCGGGTCCCCCTCCCGTGTCAGGGCGGCCGACCACGGCGTCCCGCTCTTCGGGATGGCGAAGAAGCCGATGATGATGCCGAGCACCAGCCCTACCACCGCACACGCTACGCCCAGGAGTATGAACGGTCTCTTACGCACGCCCCTGTGTTCCGCCATGTTCGCACGCCAAGTTCAGGACTTTGTCGTTTGGGATCGGAGTTTGACTATTAAAACCGCGCTCCTAGCGGCCCGCCCGCCCGACAGTTGCCGCCCCCCCCACCCAGCCTTGGCAGTCAGCCAGAAACTGTGTAAACACAGGTTAGATGTTTGGCAAGATGGTATGGATGCACATAACGTTAAGAACATGATGTTTTCAAAGTGAATGTCGTTTGGGTCTTGAACACTGGAGCCAGTGTGTTAAGTTTTGCGCGCGCTATTGTTGTTGCGCCCAGGTGGTGATAGGGGCAAGGGGTAACAACGTGGACAACTTTTACCTGCCCGATGAATCATTAACCAAAAGTCTACATTGGACTCTCAATAGTCTCCACCAGACTCCTTTGCAGGCTGAATAAATGGTAGAAATCGGCTAAGGGGGGGGTTGGCCGGCCCTTAGCCGATTTCTACTATTTATTCAGCCTGCAAAGGAGTCTGGTGGAGACTAGAGTCTCAAGGTCTCAACCAAACATTCACCGTTATATGCCAAAGCTATAGACACGCGGCCCATTCCAGTACTTAGACTATCCTTTTGCAATCGTCAACTGCAACAGAACTGACAGTATCGCAACGTTTTCAGTTCACTCAGTGACGAGTTCGCAACCTTCGCAAGTGTGAAGGTTTCAGAGCTGTTCCAATGCTTCACCAGGAGGGATGAGGGATAGCAAAATTATAATTAAGGCCATGTTGATTTGATTATATGGATGACATCCTCCGGGAGCCCCAAAACTGATGCGCGCGTGCGAATAAAAAAAAGGTTTTGCAAAAAAAAAAGTTCTTTTCATTATGAAATCTACGTGGTCATGGGGGTTGAGCAAATGGCATAGAATGTGGTTTGGTGAATAATCTAGTCTTCAAGTTCATTTCCTTACAATTTCGTCTTTTTTCGTTTGATTTTGGCATTCTACGACATTGGTATAGTTTTTATTAATTTTTTTTGTAACTTATGGTATATTTTTGCTCATTTTGCAACTGTTTTGTACGATTTACAGTGTGGTTGAAAACTTTTTTTTTTTTTGGAAACGGCCGAAAATTCATGCGCGCGCGGATGTCATCCATATAATCAAATCAACATGGCCTGATGGATGAATGGAACAAAATCGTCGTCCCCTCGATCTCTCGCCGGCTCGGGTAACCTTGAAGTTGTGGAGCCATCTCTGGCTGCCTGCCAAGGCTGGGGGCGGCAACTGTCGGGCGAGTCGGGCCGCTAGGAGCGCGGTTTTAATAGTCAAACTCCGATCCCCCCCAAAAAACCAAGAAATTCCGCTTCCTGTAACTATGACCAAAGAGTCACGACAGTGCTGCAAATTGTCAGATTGATGAGAAACCCGTAACGTGAAACAGGACAGGACGACAACTGCTGTTCCACCTGATTTATTGCTGTTTTGATGATGAATAAAAGACTTCTTGCTTGTTACACTGTGTCACCTCATTCAATTTGTGTCCTAACATTTGTTGTCTCCTAGTATATTTCTAATCTAGGCATCTTGTTTTTTAGGGCCCTTCATGTTTTTTTCGCCCTCTCGCATTAGATTTAGGGTCTTCAAAGGACGTCATCCATAAAATTTACTTGGTGTGGCCTAACCTGTGTTTACACAGTTTCTGGCTGGCTGCCAAGGCTGGGGGGCGGCAACTGTCGGGCGGGCAGGCCGCTAGGAGCGCGGTTTAGTCAGACTTCCAGCCGACAAAGTCCTGCGGACTTGACGTGTGGACATGGCGGAACACAGGGGCGCGCGTAAGAGACCGTTCATACTCCTGGGCGTAGCGTGCGCGGTGGTAGGGCTGGTGCTCGGTATCATCATCGGCTTCTTCGCCATCCCGAAGAGCGGGACGCCGTGGTCGGCCGCCCTGACACGGGAGGGGGACCCGAGCGTCCCCGCGCGGCTACAGCGCGAGCTCAAGCCCGACAACATCAGGGAAAACCTCAGGTTTGTGTATGCTGTTTTTGTCTTCGTGTTTGACGATTGATGATGGACCTTTCCAGTCGAACACCCCCTGTTATATTTAGAACGCCTCGGTCAAGATTGAATGTACGTGTCCTCGGTACCAGCACAACGCCCATCGCTGGTATTTCGCCACCACACTTGCTCGTGTCACTGAGTGGCCTAGGCATAATGTAAGCACCTAGTATGCAATGTTTTGAGTGTTCCAACGTCCTAACTATGTGTGTTAAGGCTTTGTTTTTGTGTTAAGGCTTTGTCTGCTTTGTCTGTTGCGAATTTCCCAAGGCATCGGGCCAAGATTACCATGCAATTCTTTGTGCCAAGCCCACGTCACAATAATTTAAACTCTCTGCGAGTCTGTTAAGCTGGCTCTAAGTTTGACCGACGGTTAGAATTTAACCATTGGCTTGGTCGCTTTCCAGATTGTACCTGTCAATGTCAACTTTGCCTCGGTCAATGATCTGAAAAGAATTAGTCACGGACATATGTGAAGTTTCGGCCTCCTTGTCACTCTCTCGCTGTTATATGAGTACAAACAAATGTAGTAAAGGGTGGAGGTTTGATGGCACTCAATCCGTCTTGTTTTCAGGTGTATCTGAATTTTTTTTGTGCGTCTGAGAAAAATGTTGAAAAACATTATAACATGCTAGTCTTTAAAAAAAAACGTGGCGAAATCCAAGCCTCCGTAGCAGGCTTATAGAACTGGGGGTTTGGTGGTCTACTGTACGTGTACTTGGTAGCAATAAATTCCACTCTTGTCTACTTCTACACGATACATGTTCCACATTCTGCACATCGTTCCGTACGTACCTGTCTCAAAACGGTCAACTTTTCCCGCCTTGTGAAGACGATTTTGCTGTAGTGCGGACCGAACCTGGACCGTGCGGCCCAGAGCTATACGGTGGTGCATGTATGGGTGTGTGTTGCATGTAACTAATATGAAGCACCTTGTTGACTCCCAGGACTCTGACGGCCCAAAAGCAGGGACCGTGCGGCTCGGAGTTGTACGGAGGTGCACATAAGGCCATGTTGATTTGTTTATATGGATGACATCCACTGGGAACCCCCAAAACTGATGCGCGCGTGCGAATAAAAAAAGTTTGGCAAAAAAAAAAAGTTCCCTTATGAAATCTACGTGGTCATGAAGGTTGCACAAATGACATAGAATATGGTTTGGAGAATAATCTACTCTTCAAACTCGTTGTCTTACATTTTCGTCTTTTTTTGGTTTGATTTTGGCATTCTACGACAGTAGTATCAATTTTTTTGCAACTTGTGAAGCAACAATGTGAAGCACGTTGATACTCCTGACTCCCAGGACGCTGACGGCCCGGAGCTGCCGGGACCGTGCGGCCCAGAGCTATACGGGGGTGCGTGTATGGGGTATGTGTTGCATGTAACTATAAGTGTAAATATAAAGCACCTTGCTGACTCTCAGGACGCTGACGGCCCGGCCGCACATAGCCGGGAAGGAGATGGACCTGGGGGTGGCCCGGCTGATCCGGGACAGGTGGTTGGAGTACGGGTTCGACTCCGCCCGGCTGGTGCCCTACGACGTGCTCCTGGCGTACCCGAGCAGGGATCCCAACAGGGTATTGCATACACGTATTGCACAGAAATATGTACAGGTTATGAACATATATATATAACATATATATATACATACATATATATATATAC